AACTCGGATTATTCTCTTGTGAACCTCAATCATATGAAGAAGCTTCAAAAGAAAAAAGTTGGACAAAAGCAATGAATGAAGAAATATTCGCCATTGAGAAAAATAAAGCTTGTGAACTCGTCGATTTACCAGAAAGAAAGAAGACCATTGGTTTGAAGTGGATCTATAAAATCAAATACAATGGAGACGGGTCAATTCAAAAATATAAAGCTCGGCTCGTGGCTAAAGGATATTCTCAACAACCAGGAGTCGACTTCACAGAGACATTTGCTCCAGTTGCAAGAATGGAGACAATACGTTCAGTTCTGGCATTAGCAACTCAACTGGAGTTAGAAGTGTTTCAGCTCGATGTAAAATCAGCATTTTTAAATGGCGAAATCCAAGAAGAAGTGTATGTTGAACAACCTGAAGGGTTCAAAATCAAAGGCAAAGAAGACAAAGCTTATCGTCTTCAAAAAGCATTATACGGGTTAAAGCAAGCACCCCGAGCATGGAATAGCAAAATCAATAGCTATTTCATTCAAAATGGCTTCAATTGAAGCACAAGTGAATCATCCCTCTATGTGAAAAATGTAGAAAAATATTTTCTTATCGTATGCCTCTACGTGGATGATCTTATCTATTTTGGAACAAATGAATACATGGTGGATGAATTCAAGAAGAAAATAATGAAAGATTTTGAAATGTCAGACTTGCGACTTATGAGATATTTTCTTGGGATTCAAGTAAAGCAAAGTCCAGGAATAATTTTTCTTTCTCAGGAAAAGTATATTGATGATCTTCTGAAAAAATTCAAAATGAGTGAATGTAAGCCAATCTCTACTCCGATGGCCTTAAATGAAAATTTTCAAATTTATGATGATGCAGAAAAAGTTGATGCCACACTCTACAGAAATTGATTAGATCATTAATTTATCTTAATACAAGGCTAGATATTACGTATTCAGTCAACTTATTATCCAGATTCATGAATGAACTAAGTAAACTACATTTTGCAGTAGCAAAAAGAATTTTGAGATTCTTTAAAGGAACCAAGAACCATGGCATCGAGTTTAAAAAAGAGAATAATTGCAAATTTGTTGGTTATACAGATAGTGATTGGGCTGGAGCAGTTGATGATCGAAAGAGCACTTCCGGATACATCTTTTGTCTAGGATCAAATGTGATTTCCTGGAGTTCAAACAAGCAGAAATTCGTTGCTTTATCATCAGCAGAAGCAGAGTATATTGCTGCTACAGATTCGGCTTGTGAAGCTCTTTGGCTTAGAAGAATTTTGAACGATTTGAAATTTGAGCAGGAAGGACCAACAACAATTTATTGCGATAATATGTCGACAATTGCGATGACAAAAAATCCAGTCTTTCCTGCTAGGTCAAAACATATTGAGCTTCAACATCACTTTATAAGAGATTTGGTAAATCAAGAAGAAATATGCATGGAGTTTATAAATACCAACGATCAACCGGCCGATATGATGACAAAGCCAATGACAATTGATAAGTTCGAGAAATTCAAGAAGCATTTGAAGATTACAAATTAAGAGGGGGTGTTAAAAGGATAATTTGTAATCTATCTTCAACTAATCCAAATCCAAATTGGAAACTTCAACAACAAAGGAAGATTCAAAGAGTTCAAATTCAAATTGAACACTTCAACCTTCAAAGGCTTGATTCATTGAATGGTCAAATTGATAAGGTTTTTAATTCAAGTTGTATACTCAACTTATGCAAGCTGGAAATTAACAAAGGCAGCAGCCATAAAATGTTCTGGAATCTGGAAATTAAATTAGCAGCCAATTCACATTTCAATATTCAAACAAGCGAGCTGGAATTTGAAAATAAACATCAGGCAGCCAGCATCCATATTCTGTCCAACAAAACACAGCTGTAATTGAAGAGATAATAGCTGCAAATGGAAAAGAAAAACAGCATTTATCTAGTTGTAATTGTAGAAAATTCTTAGGACTAGTTTATTCAATGTTTTCTATAAATATGAAGGCACTTATCTAGTGTCATGTATGTAGAAGAAGGGAGGAAAAACCTCTCAAAAATAGAAAGAAGAGTGTATTGTAGCAACTCCTTTGTAATCCCCCCAATTTCATTAGTAAAATTTCATATTTCTTCAATCTCTATCCTTCTACATCCAACAGATTCACCTTAGAATCCATCAGTTGTTTGATGAGCAATAGCTCCTCCTTCATTGCATGCAGCTCGTGTTGATAGTGTATTGCCTTTTTCTCAAACAACATAATTACAGTTGCAGCCCCCTTCGCTGTGTTCAAAATTATATCAGCATAGGCCTTCTTGAAAGCTGTCAATCTCTGGCCCCTGAACCAAAAAAAAATTACACATCACACACGTCAAAAAATAA